AAAAAACAATTAACATTTGCTAAGCGGTATTAAGAGTGTTACTACAGCCGCTGGCAAATGAGGGAAATTAGGGGAAATGTTTGAATTTTGCGTTTGATTATACGCTAGATTACATTTTTAGGTAAATATAGGGAAAAAATGGCGATTTATGTGCATGAATGCACATTGTAGGAAATTTATTTTAATACAGATTTGGTTTTTAACGTTTATTTCGTTTATTAAAAGAAATTAAGAGGATAAAGCTATAATTATTGTATTAAGGACAAAACGGTTAGGTTTTTTATTTAAATTAAATAAACTAAAATAAAACAAAACGCAAAAGTAAAACCAAAAATAAAATATGTTCCAACAAGAAATTAACATTTAAAAATGTATTTAATACTATAACTTTAAAACAATACATTAATAACACTTCAAACAAAAAGAATACCATTTATAAAATATGTTTTACTATAGTTAAAAGCTATATTTAAATATTAAAATCGTTTATAAAAGCGAAACCTCAAAGGATATTGTAAAGCGTAACGAAAGGTCACAAGGTTGTTGTCGCCAAGACAACCGCACATGGTTACTTACATGTATATTTTATATTCCCATTCAGATCCGAAAAAAAAACCCAACAATCAGCCATGAAGAAGATTTAAGGTGTGTTTCTGAAAAGGCTAACAGAGATCCAGAGCGAGTGGAAATCCGATAGATAAGGATTTCGACGGAGAGATTTTCATTAAATCGAGGGAAACACATTTCCATCCGTGGGTGGCGATGCCACCGAGGCCCCTGTGGGCCCCTCCTGCCCCTGCCCATGCCTCGAACGGGGTGCAGACGACTCGCGATCGCCGCTAAGGGGTTAAATCCTGCACTTGCCATTAACAACAATAATAGTTGTAATAATTAATAACCGACAACAGCGAGCGCCGCACAAAAAAAAAAAAAAGAATACAAGAAATCATAAAAAACATAATTAAATAATAAATAATCAACATAAATCGTGAAGTGAAGTGCATTCGCACTCTCGGTACAGTGAGCACCAGACACAAAATGACTATGAAATCGATGAAGTACTCTGATTGTGATACCATCATGGATGGCTACAATCCGGTGCCACCGCCCCTGCCCCGCCGAGTGCCCCCCGTGCGAAATATCTACGCTGAGCCCTTTGCCCACGAGCCGAACCATTCCAGCAGGTAAATAATGCACTCAGTGCACTCGAAAAAAAACTATTTAATACATTTCTGAAAAGTCCTAATATCAGAAATCGCAATTGTCATTTTTTGTAACCAAATTATAAGATTTCAAGAATAATGTTTAACTTTTTGGACATAGAAGACTTGCATTTATACAAATTATATTCTTTGAAACTTATTTTAACTATAAATCAGGGATTTTTTTTTAAGTACATTCACCTGCACACCTGTGCAAATAATTGTAATTAAGTCGAGTGTCATCGCGAAATTACAGCGCCATCAGAATGCCAGGAACAAAGGCAAATGGCGATTATGCACAGGTCAACTGGGGTCAAATGTATTGCATGCTGTCTGACCAGCAGTCCCATAAAATCATTGCCAAAATATTGCCACAGATTTAAGACTTAATTAACATTCGAGTCCTCCGGTCTGTTGCATTGAAAATAATAACAAATTAAAGGCAATTCTTAGGAAATCAAATTGTTGTTGCCATTTCAGACTTAATCTGAGGCGAAAAATAAACTAAAGAGCGGTAGAGTGCTTTGAGCCTTTATTATGCGGCAATTTCAATAAGAAAATGTAGACTTACACAATTGCACAATCAAGTACTTTGTTTTAATTAATTGCTTCTTAATGACTTGATATTCAAATAAACTGCATTTATTATTTTGAGAGTATTAGCTCGGTTTTAAAAACCTCTGAGAACTAGCTTGTTTTTATAAACTCTAGATTCCATATTTCAATCTAATTTATAATTGATTATTAAAAGGGATTTCCAGATATCGCTGTTACTTAATTTATAAATTAATAATTAGTTACTGACTCTGGAAGAACGCCATGCCCAAAAACTGAATGCTAAAAAACATCTCTCTGACCCAGAAAAGATTTTAACCCACTGCATTTTACATGAGAAAAGGGTTCCTTTATTGCCCAGTCACCTTAAGGTGTTGCTTTGTTTTCGTTTTTAAAAACTCCATTCGCCGGCGCAATCATCCCCAATTCAAACGCAAGAAACTGGAACACAATTGCAATAAACGTACGCCTCGATGAGTAGCTCCTATTTTTTTTTTTTTTTTTTTTTTTTACCATCCTCCCACTTATGTTGCATATTAAAAAAAGGAAAATATGTGTATATAGATGGAGAAGAAGAGCAGATGATAAAGAAATGTCCCATATAAAGCGGCGTGAGTCGAGTGTACAATATGCATTTTCATATCTGAATAAATAGACAGGCGAGAGGTGCGGAGTTCTCACTGGGATATAATATAAATATATATATATATATAAATATATATGTATGTATCCAGCCCACAACAATGGCCAGAGGGGTGAAGGGGCGGTAACGAGGGCAGACAGAAGGAAGAGCTTACTAGGATGAGGATGTGGATGTGGATGTGGATGAGTATGTGGATGAGGAGCTACAACGACCAAATGGTAACCAACAGTCAGCAAACTGATACAAGAGGCTGGCTGCACGGCAAAAAAAAAAATACACCATAGGTCAGCACTTGAAGATGTCATTTAAAGCAAAGAGTAACTATGGAATAGGTTATTATTATAACTATTTTGTTTGTAGTTTTTATTTATTTTAAAGTCCTTATCAAAAAACAAATAAAATTGATCAGCTTGCATTTAGCTCCTTTTTTTATGGTAAAAAGTCAAATATTAAACAATTATTTACTTTTTTTTAAACATAAATATTCGGATATTGTATTAAGATCCTTACAAAATACATATATTTTCCCTCAGTATAGTGGGCGTTGGGGCGCGTGGGCGTGGCTGTGAACGGGTTTCGGCAGTACGGCGCAATATGTTTGCCTGTCAGTTTCATGCATTTCATATCGAAAACCATTCGTACTTTTACTTGAGTGAGTTTTATGAGCAACGAGCCGAGTCTGTACGGGGATACACATATCCACGAGGATGCTCCACTGGCTACATTGTATCCTTTTTCCCGTTCAAATTGGTTGGCAAAGGAGAACGGGGGGCGGGGGACGGGGGACGAAACATCAGTGGCCCCGTTTATATGCATAGTTTTTGGTTGCTGTGCGATTGCAAACTGCGAAGTGGGTTAGATTGTGTTCCGCTGCCTGTGTTCGCTCAGCTTTTATATTAAATGAAAATTCCAATTACTTTTTATGGGGCTACCAAACGTGGGTGGGGGGACTTTAGAATTTACTCAAACTTAAATGGCTAAATACAAGTGAAGTGCGGGTAGAATAATACCAAATTTGGTTGAGGTCCTTGGCTATCTTAACATTATTTCAAATTTCGTTAAATAAAGTATTGTGAAACTTAAATTCTGAAAATTAAAAGTATGCAGGGATGCACGTTTGTATTTCTCATACACTATAGTGTGTTCTAAAATGTATATACGTTTTGAAAACTTAATTATTATGCACTTTTCTGCGTGCCGATTTAAGCCCCCTTGAATGTCAAAGTTCCCCCCTTTGCCCCCGTTTAAGCTGCTCGAACTCAAACTGAAAAATTACAATAAATATTTCTCTTTCTCTCTTTTCGCCACTTCTAGGTAAGTTATGGAAACATGCTGGCAGTCCTGGAATATACGAATGCGAATTGGGATATATATATGTATATGGGTATATATATACATACATAAATGTACATGCATATTTGAGGAGCGACGAGGGCAGGCGCTCAACTGCAGAACTTCGAAAAGCCGAGCAACTGGAGCCGGGGGAATTTAATAATTCAAGTGGTTGGGCGAAGGGCGAAGGACGAAGGCCTCTCTAATGACCTACTTGAAAACAAACAACAACAGTAACGAAAAAAGTATGACTACCTACCGGTGGTAGCCACCGATCCACCCACCAAACCAACCATCGAACCACCCACCATCCGCACATAAGTAATTTGTGTGCTCGTGTGGGTCAGGTGGTTTTTCGGTAGCCAGAAACTTGTTTAGTTTTCGGTTTGGCTTAGTTCAGTTTCAGTTTTCAGTTGTCGGTTTTCCGTTTTCAGTTTTCTATTTCTAGCTTTAGGTTAGACTTGCGAGCTTAGTTATGCACTTCAAGTGCATTTCCCTAGCAAAAATCCCACACAGAATATAACCTCATGACCCACTCCAATCAATCCCCACATCGCCCTCGCAAAAAAAGAAAAAAAAAAAACAACAAATCGTGATGAACATTATGATTGAAATGCCGAGCTTCATATCATTTCGTTGGACAAACAAGTCGTACATATGTATACCATATATGCGTACTACACCCATTTGATGTGTATTCTTATGGCAATGGGAGACAACTCGATTTTGCTCGTTAGACAACATTTGTTTCGGACAGTTGGCAACTAATTTGTTTTGAAATGGATGTCAAGAGTGTCCTCGACCCCCAGGACTTCACTTCGAGGCGGGGGACCAAGGGTCAGCAAATTGAATAAAAAAAGGCACAAGAAGTGCTGAGAAAAGGAGCAGGCAAGTAGTCAGGACATGCCATGAGCATGTGTAGCTTTTCTTCTGCCACCCCAATAAAATAAGAGGTCCGTAAATATTATGCCACATTTCTGATAGATTCAGCCAGGAAATTGTGTGTTGTTGATTCGGCGGTAAGCACACTTCACTCACATTTTAATAGGAAGTTTAATTTTAGATTTTAGTTCGCTTTTTGTTAATGCAAAATAATAAGCTTCGTTCTAACTTCGACCCTTTTTAAGCACCTTTTTAAAGAGTTTTCTGCAAACTACTACAAGCTACAATGATGTATAACAATTCTGTGTCCTATAACACCAAACTTAAAAAGGTTTATAAGCTGTTTTCAAAACCGTTTTGCTATCTCCCAATAAACAAACTGAATCTTGGGTTCCATGTCTATATTCGGTTAAATAATGTTGCCAGATTCAGAGATAGTTGTTGCCTAAAATTTGCCAGCCATAAAAGAATCCCAAAGAGCCTTAAGTTGTTGTGAGTTCCAAATCATTTCCCGTTTCGGTTGCATTTGAAATGACTTCCGCCACGATCGCTGAACATTCGCTGATGCCAACCAAAGGCAAATCCAGTGTCAGAGCAGGGGGCGTGGCATCGCATCCCAGTAAATTATCAAATAACGAAATAGCACTTGGTAGATAAAAATTGGGATCTTGATCGGAGGTTATGGAGGACTGAGGTGCTTCGCCGGTGTCGGAACTGGGATCCGATTCTTGAGACTCTGTTTGGGCATCTAAAAATGTAAATAGTGCCGGCAGGGAAATCAAAACTTCCTCTATATCTTCTCGATCCTCTCGATCGGATCTTCGATGCTCCAGGGTTTGCAAATTGCAGCCCACAGAAGTTATTTCATCGGCCATGCCCAGCATGTCCTCTCTGGCATTGGATTTATTACCTAAAAGATAGATTTAATATTTAAATTTGAATTTATAAAATACTAATTAGGTTTATTCGATTTTTTAAGGTTAATATTGGTTTTTTAAACTCACCCAACGGAGTTCTCTGTTTAGTTTTGGGTTTTGAAGCCTTTAGTCCTTTGCGATTTCCTCTTTTCTGTAAACTACGGTTACTACTTGCCCTGGGTCTTTCCCTAATAGTGAAACTTTGACTTGGTGGTTCGGCAATTTTAACCGATTTACTAGAAGCTCGGCGCTCCAAAGCTATTGATTTGACGATGGAAGGAGCGGTTCTGGAAGTAGATGCATTTTCGGGTAGAGTTCGGGCTGTGAATTTGCCACTGGGAATCGGATTGCCAGGGACGGGAGACACCGATTGCTTAAGCTTTTGATTCTCTGCAAATAGAAGAGCCTTTAGATTTCTCAGTTCTTCGGTTAGTTTCGATCTGCGCTGCTCCAAGTCCCTTAATTTCTGTTGCTCGAGCTGCAAACCGGCGAAAAGTTGAGCGAATAGAGAATTGTTTTGATCTTGTTGGCGATGTTGGGTCTCCAAACGGCTTGAACGATTTGCATTTGAACTGGCAGTGTCCTGTAAACTTTTGCTGTTATCCTCGGGTTTCTTCTCGGCCATGTTTTATATTTGTTTCAGACTAGAGCTTGAGGTTCTCAGGTTATCCTTAAGATTGGGGAATCCTCGGTCGCCCTGTCCTATAAAATTACCAGATCTGGAACAACAAAATTTTGATGGAGTGTTTTTTGGAATGTTGATTTATGTGTTGTGTTCAGTTATTGTGTTGTGTATAAACTGGTCGAATGGGGGCCTTAGCACTAGACCCAGAACACTGACAGTTGGTCATGGCCTACGTGGATTGAAAATAGTTGATTTAATCAAACAAAAAGCAAAGAAAAGACGATATACATAGGTCTAAAGTATGGCAGCAATTTATAAGTTCAATTTCTAAGGACTTTTTACTTATAAAAAATGCCAAACAATCATCAGAAATTCAAAATTGACCCCCCTTTAAAGTTCCAATTGATAAAGTCGCCAAATGCCCCTCAAGAAGTACAAATAAGTCGGAGTGTGATTTTATTTGCACTCCCTGTGCTGCCATTATGCCGGCCTTTAAGCCACTCTCAAATTGGTCGAACTATTAAAGTGAAAAACTTTTTAGCTTCTGTTTTTCCCCGACCCACCGAAAGCTTTCGAATTGGTTCCATTTTATTCGGACTCTCATATTTTGGCAGACAAACTTCAAACTATTGTTGTGGCAAGTCAATGAACTGGCAAAATCGCCTAATATTTCCACACTTCCAGACACTTTTCGTTTTTCTCTGTTTTTCTGTGTTTTCCTCCTTCTTCTAGTTTTTTTTTTTTTTTTTTTTTTTTGAGAAAAAGGAGTTTTCCCTGGGAGAGCTGCATGTTTTGTGCTCTGAATGGCCAAGTATATTAAAAGTCTATTTCTTTTGGCAAGACAATAAAGTAGCGCGAGGGCGCAAGGATAGTGAAGGACAGTGGCTCACCCCTTCACGTTTTGTTGTAACAAAAGCACACGAAGATGAAGTAGGAGCCGAGGATTCAGGATCCAGGACTTTGGCTGTGGGATGAATGAGCCGGCGGGCGGCTATTGTTCTACTTCGCGAAATAGCGCACATAAAAAGCCAAAGAACGACGGCCATAAATGATAAAAAAAGTGGGGTGTGGGAGGAGGGCCCAAAAAGAGGGGCGGAGAAAATTGGTAGAAGCCGAAACTGAACCCGAAGTGGGGATAAATGACAGCCAACTGGCAGCCGTACAGAGGCGGCTAAAAAAGGGAGTGAATGGGGCTTGAAAAGGGCCAGCTCCAGCAAAATAGGGAGTGTTATGGGGAGAAAAGGGGGCGCCAAAAGACGGAGGCGCTTAGCAAAAAAAAAAAAAAAAACGGCCAGTAAAGTGGAATAGAATGCCAGGCCGACATCGACATTTTCCTGCCCCACAACCCCCTTCACATTTTCCAAACGCCCCGCCCCAAATGCCCCTGTCAATTCCGGCGACGTCTACGAGAAAAAGGGTTAAAAATGTTTCATTGCCTCGACAGGACTGCGAAGACAACATATGCCAATAATTTACGCAATTTAGACAAAGCAAAAAATACAAAAATCCAAGTCGAAAGAAAAATAAAGGAAACAAACAAGAAGACAGCACAGAAAAACAGGTCCCCTTGGAAAAACGCAAAGAAAAAAAAGGCCCAAGAAAATATTCTCTCCAGGCAAATCCATCAGGGCAGTGAGTTGGGTGCTCTGTGTCCAAAAACCACCCAAATATGCAGCCCAATTTCACACCAGACCCCAACCACCGAAAAGCAAACCGAATTGATGCTCAATTTTATATTTTAAATGTTATTCAAATTGTGTCACATTTCTCAGTGTAATGGCTTGGAATTGTCTGCAGGAAAAAGGGTTACTACCCGAGTTGTTGTTTTCGTATGTTGCGGCTTGTCGGAGAAACTCCTCTCGAATTGCTAACCCCCCATTTTATTTATCGACTGCCATTTCTCCAGGGGGTTGTGTATACACATTTATATAGACATTTAAGTGTGTGTGTGTGGACAGAGGGATGGGTTACAGAGAAGATGCCTTAGAAATGAGCGATGCTCAGGCGATTTAAGTGCGCTAAGCTAATTAGCTGTGGCCAACAACACCAAGAAGTTGGCCAACGCAACTGACCCTCAAAGGTTACCAAAGGCCTCCGTTTACCTTTGCGGAAATTGCGTCATTAACAGGCGCTTAGTGTAGGTAGTGTGTGTGTGTGTGTTAAATAACAATATCATATAAAACATACACAACAGTGGTCAAAATGTATGCACAAAAAGTAGCAAGTGATGATGAAAATATATCAAGCTACTTGAAAATATATAAAAACATTACCTAAGTGATTAGTATATCAACAGCTTTGTATAAAGGGAAAACTAGTTATGTTTTACTTTTTACTTTTTATTTTTCAATTTTTACTTTTTAAAAGGTATGTGTTAACTTGTTTTTGCACATCGAATATAAAAGCATAATTATATTTTATTACTTTATTTTAGGTTTTTAGACTTAATTATTTGCATTCTGGTTTGCTGTTCTCTTATTTCGTATTATTTGAGCTGTGCTTTGCTTACTACACCCCCCACTGACTAAAAAGTATACTACATATTTTGGAAACAAGATAACATTTGAAGGAGATCTTGTTCTTTTCCCAATGTAAAATCATCTTAGATTACAAGTGCTATTCAGATGACCACAATCGTGAAGATATACATAGATCCCAGCCCATCGGTTGGCGAGACATTAACCCTAAGACCTTTGATTAATGCCGGCTCAAAAGACACAAAAAGGGAAGCGAACAAAGCGAGGAACAAAGTCTCGTAATGAGACTGCCATTCCGATGATATGACATCTTGTTGTTTGGCCCAACTCGACTGAACAACAGAACGACTGAGCGACTGAAGGACTCAAGGGCCGAAGGACCTCTTCTCTGCCATACTTTGCACCCATCTCAATTACAGTCCTTCAGCGGAGAGTCATCTTTCTGGCCCCCCCAAGTGACAACTTGCCGATTCCTTTGGTCATTTCACCTGCCTCCAGGGGTAACTTTCACAAGCCAAACTCCTTAACCTACTGCCCCTGCCACGCCTCCATCTCCCAGTCCCCAACCCCCAACCCCCATCCCATTACCACCCCCTGCTAATGATGTCCAATTCAGTGTTCGATCTGAGCTCCCCTGGGGCCAGGTGGGCAGAATAGAACAGAACAGAACAGACCTGAACCGAACAGAGCAGTACAAATGAAAACAAATCCGAGGCGGAGGTGGAAACCAAACTACATGACATCTGGAGTACTAAACATTCGATGGCCGGCCAGTACATCCTCGGCTGCTAATTGGACAAGTGAAAGTGAAATGAGGTCCTAACCTCGGGCAGCTCCCAAAGAAAGGCAGCCATTCGATGGGTAATCCCATGGCTAATCGCACACTTTGCAAAATAAACATGCCCCGTAATTGGGTGGCTGCTCCCGGAAAGTGAAAAGTATGGATGAGGCGAAATATGTTTTATTAAATTGGGTTACATTGGGTTTCGTGTAATAAAAATAAAACATCAATATTTCCCTTAATTAGTGGACAATGTTGTTCCTTTTTCCTGTTGTCCTTTGGGTCTTTTAGTTACACCGCTGGACAACAATCAGGGAGACTGAAAAGAACTTTGATAAGCGTATATATGTACTCAAAAAATTTGTAATATATATTGTTGAGCTTGGATTAGATTTTGAAAAAGGCTTCTAAGAAGTTTCTCGAAAATGGAGTATACTTATAAGGTCTTAGCTTATGCTAAAAGAAAAAAAAGAAAAAACATTCTATTATTGGAATATTGTTTTCATTGTTTTGGCTAAAATTTTGATATAGTTGGGAAAAAAAATAAAATTCAAAACAAACCATACTATTCCTACCATCAGATAAATTTTATAAATAAAACCAAAACAACACAACCGGTTTATGCGGCTTAAACCTATTTCTCGCAGTGTGCGCACCAGACAAAACTGCTAATCAGACGCATCCATGCTCAACTAATGCCAAGTCAAAGGGAAAAGCTTTTGCCGCCTTTTTCTGTTTCTATTTCAGTTTCAGTTTCGGTTTCGGTTTCAGTGTCAAAGTCAGAGCCCGGGTCAAAAGGCGCATCAATGCTGCTGAGCATATTTTGTGGTCGCCTGGCTTTTCCCCCTCACCCTTTGCCATTTTCCAGCTGCCTGGCCCAGCTTTTCCTTACTACTTTTTTTTTTTTTTTGTTTCTCTTTTTTTTTTACATCTTTTTGAGAACTTTCTGTGTGTGCCATGATGCTGCACAAAAAACTTCCGACAACAATTCTGCAAACGCAAGCAGGAAAACATAAATCTGGCTAAAGCTAAAACGCAAACTTTTATTTAAAAAAAAAAGGAGGAAAGAGTCAGAGGCGAAACAGAAAAAAAAAATAAAATGAGAAAAGAATAAAAGGAGGAATTTTGTGTGAGTGCGTGCAAGTGATAGAGGGATTGGATAAAACAGAGACGACGAGTGCAGCCAAGAGGTCCCGAACTGGAGTCTGAAGATTGGCCCCGGCTTGGAGACGAACTTATTTTACGGGGGTCCAACTAGGTCGACTGGGCAAGGGCACTTCTCACAGAAGTAATATGGGTAATAATAAACAACGCATAGCATACTTTTATTCCCTTAAAAGGAAGTGAAAAATGCAGGTTTAACAAGGCATTTTATCAATTATAATAGGATAATGTATTAAGAAGGTGTTAATATTTATTTAACAAAAATAGCAAGAGTAACTAAATCCAACAATTTAGCTTTAAAAATGTATACATATCAAATCAAATTCCATACTTAAAATCTACGGGGTTGTTAATTTATTTAATTAATTTAATTTATTATGCCATACCAGATCTGGAATACTTATTAAATATTTGTTGTAATTTATTGTGTGCTTATACAATTTGTTTTGAGGAATCTCAGCTGTAGGGCATTATATGAGCTCCATGAATGGGCCAAACCGCATTTTGCAATGGACATAAAAATGCGAAAACAAGCTCTTCTTCAGACTTGTTTTCTGGGAAAGAGAGGGGTGTATAAAGAAGGAAAGAGAGGGATGCAACGAAGTATCTTGGTATCTTTTTTTTTTTTTGTGTTAAGCAAATGTCCACATTTTGACCATTTGAAATCCAAACAGGCAACTTTTATGCCACTGACGCGTGTGTGTAGTGTGTGTGCGTGTGTGCTCCTTTAGTTTTTTTTTTTTTTTTTTGTGCTACGTGTGAGTGTGGAACAGACTTTGGCTGCCATTTCAACTTGAGCTTGAAATTTTGCAACATGCCTTCGACATCTCTTGGGTATTTTTACGACTATCACAGGCGGCCAAAAGACTGACCACAAAAGCCAAGGCGCCCAAGTGCCGCGACTCCACTCCGCCCGCCTTTTTTTTTGTTTGCTGATTCTGATTCTGGTTTCGGTTCTGGTTTAGGTTTAAAGCCATAGCCATAGCCATAGCAAGAGCCAAAAAACGAACACAACAAATAAGAGCCAGCAAGCTCCTGCCTCAAATGGATTTGGACAGAAACAAACGCATAGAGCCAAAATAAAAATAAAGGAAGCATAAAAAACAGATACAGAGCGAGAAAATAGGGGGCTGGTGTATGCGGGGTAGCGATGATGCACGTGATGCGATTCCTCGCTGGCTTAAAAGATAAAAAGATACAAATCAAAACAACTGGAATCTTCAGTGCTGTCAAATGTATTTCACCAAAAAGTAGCCAATTCGGTAGTTAAGAATATGTATTAAATCAATATACA